TCAGAAGTTTTTTGTAAGTAGTTGATATATACTACAATACCCCCTGACATTTGAGAGAGTACTTTTTCTACCATCCCACACTTATCTTATTTTTTTTTGACATTTACAAAAGCATTGAAGAGATGGACTCCTCCATGTGCTAAGTGGTGCCCCTCAGTTATCCTCCAGACCAGCTGGCTCATCAGGAAGGACTGCTCAGTGTCCAACTGAACCTTAGGCAGGTGGGCAAACTCCTTAAGTCACTGACTAACAACCAGAATCAGAAGTTTCCTCTCTAGAAGCTCCTTCCTCTAAACACAAAGGTTACAACCTTCCTATTTCCTTTGTGCTGCTTATCAAGCCATTGTCTCTTAGGTCCAAACCTGGCACTTGGCTTTGTGATGCTAATGCCGGGATGCTGCAAAGCACATTTCTTCATCTCACCTCCGTGGTGAAGGCTCTTGCGCTCGGCTAATAGGGAAGAGGGATTATGCTAAAATAAAAGAGGAAGATCTTTGGTCCCTTCTGTTTTGCTGCCTTTCCTTCTGAGCATATTCCTAGCAATGACTGTCCCAGCAGTGACTATTCCTTCCTGCAGAAGCAAATCAATATGCTTTGTAGATTTTCACACACTTGGAAAACCAGATTCACCATGACCTTCCTCCTGCACCGTGAAACAATACCAACGATGTGACACCTCCTCCTCAGAGGTTTGGGTTTTAGGATTATGGGCACCCTCTTCTGTAGTCTGAGTCTCAACTTCATGGAGCCCCTCTTCTAAGTTTTAATATTTAAACCACTTCCCTTCTTCCCCTTTAGCAACTCCTCCTACAGGTGCTAGCTCAGTGACACTCTAGAGTTCCCTGTTAGCCTGTAGATTACCTAGTTAACAAATTTCTACTGAGTTAGCAGCTCTTTCTAGTCAAATAACTGGTGTTTCTATTGCCTGATGAGATCCTGACTGATGCACCACTGTTAGGCTTTCAGTCTGATGACCCTTTTTGCCTCCTCCCAATTCCTCCTAAATTGTGGAGCTCAGTGTGTGTGTGAGTTAGAGGCAGGAGGGACAGAAGCACAGCCTGTTCGGGCGGGCAGCACCTCCCCCGTGCCTCCAGTCACTCCATGCCCAAGGACAACTCTGTTAGATGGTGAGACTAAGGAGACTACATGTATTTTGCTGCCTCTTTGCCCATAAATTTAATCAGTGAACCTGCTTTACACCTGCACCATGTTTCATTTGTGGAGTTTGTCGCTCTTCTGGCCAAACAAGCAGAAGCAAATACACTATAGAAATCACAGAAGATAATAAACCATAAAATGTTTTATGGATGAGTAAATTAAAATCCTTTAGTTGTTTAAAGGAGAAAAATTAAGATGTCCAATTACTCAGAAGTGTTTCAGACAAATAATGCAAGTTTCTGTTGCTGATAACACCAGCTCCTTTTTGATAATCTTGATAGGACCAGCCCCAAATGAAAGACACCTTCTAATAGGCTCTATATATATAAGTCAATGTGTTGGTTATTAAACTATTGTTTCTCAGCTCCAAATACACCCTTCCACACTCTGCTCTGAGATGCCAGGGTTGGTACCATCACTAGCTCTGTAATACCTTCTTATCAGTATTTTGAGTCCCTGCTCTGTAAGATCCTTCCTCCATGTTTATAGATCAGTAAACCTAACCCCTTTTCATTTTATCAGCAAATCACATTTCTTTGCCAGCTGGCTCCCTGTTAGGTTCTTCCAATAGAGGGTGTTATAGAGAAACTGGAAGCCAGAAGGAACTTCCCTGTTCCTGTTTGCTTGTCCCTCTCAGCATCTCTGCAACAACCATTCTTCACTCTGGCAGTGGCAGTTGGTTTTTCTCCCTCCCACACTCCCTAAACAGACTCATGGAATCCTTCCAAAATACTAGAATTAGTTGTAGGGCACCCTTCTTCGGAAGTCCAAATCCCAATTCCTTGGGCAATCTCCTTTATGATCTTAAGATATAAACACCAGGTAGACAATTTACCCTCTTCAGAGGTATGAATTTCAGATCTGCAAGCTCTTGCTCCATGTTGCTGAGCTATCATCACCAGCTGAATGACCTGCCCTCCTCCCAAGTACAGCTCCCAGCTCTGTAAAGTATTTCCCTGTGAGCTCCCACAGGGAGCTTCCTAGACTAGCTGGGCAGTATCGCCTCAGCATTTTGAGTCCCAGCTCTTTAGGGTTGCTTCTCTAAGTTTTTAGATCCTGATAACCTCTCACTTTATTTTCTTCTTTTTTTTTTCTTGGGAGTACCTGTCGTCTCATTTGCACAGTTCCAAGCCATAGAGTACACAAATGTGCATATTTCCACTGAATGCAGAGTTAGAAGAACCTGACTGCCTCGCCAGGGGGTGCTATAGGGATGGTCGCAGGGTTACCCTCCAATAAAGGTTAGCTGGGAGTCATGACCGGAGAAAACGGGACCCCATCAGACAGTCAGCCCAACTGTGATCCAAGTGTTGCCAGTTTACAGCAGTCACCTAAAATATTTTCAAAGGTGGGATCCCTCCACCCAGGAGACTCTGGAGGCGGGACCAGAAGGAGCTACAAGGCCTGGACACCCCCGCCTGCCCTGGGAGCGCCAGGTGATGCGCAGTGCCTGTCAGGGTTGCTGGGAGCTAAAACAGGGCCTGCTCCTGCAGAGGCTCGGCTGGAGGAGGTCTGCTGAGGGTGCCAGGTATCTATCTGCCTGGTACCAAAGCCTGACCTACACAAATGCGCCAGTTCCCCCAAAAGTAGAACTGGAGAAGTGTGAACTGCTTTGCCCAAATGGGGCCTAGCTGCTGCAAGGGTGTCCTTCCCTGAGGCACACCTGAGAACTTTGATTACCGGTAAGCTTGGGCCGCCATCAGGCAGCTAGTCTGGAAGGAGATGGGATTTTGTCACTTTAATGCAGCCGCCTCAGGGAGATTTTGTGGTGGTGGGCTTCCTCTGCTCTGGAGGCCATGCAGGCAGCTGGGTAAGGGCCTGAAGGGGTCGGGCTGCCGGAGGGCGGGGGTGGGCCACAGACAGTACACTGCGCGTGTGCTAGCGCCGGTCAGCAACCCCTTCCATTTTTGTGCAGTGACCACCCAGCCTATAGTATTCTGTTACAGCAGATACAAAGCACTCAGACAGAGGGAGTTAGTGGCCACTAGATGACCTAGAACTTTGACAGAGCCCCACAGTTGAGGCCTGGGTGCACAGACCTAAGTCTTTGGGAGGGGAAGGAGAAAGGAGAGAAAAAAGGTGACAGGTGTTCAGGGCTTCCTGAAAGCTGAAAGTAGAGCAGGAACACTGAGAAAAACTTCCTAGCACCCAGGCCCTGCTCTAAACACAAGGGTGTAGATGTCAACTCCGGGAACAATTTGAAGCTTGTGCTACAAAATCCAGGTGAAGTACTGACTACATTTGAATTAGGCCCATATTAACAGCCTGAGAAAAGAGGTGAACACATTTCTAAACATAAATATTATTTACCTTGGTTTCTACTGTTTTATATGCAATGTCTGGAATTCAGTTTTTTTTTTACAAAATGGTACGCAAAAGACCAAGACAATTTCCAAAACAAAGTCAACAGAACTAATCCCAGATGTTGGAACTATCAGAGAAAAATTTTAAATGACTGAACTGTGATTACAGAGAGCCCACCTGGGTAATCCAGGATAAACTCCCAATCTGAAAATCTTTTACTTAATTACATTAACAAAGCCCCTTTGCCAAGTAAGGTAACATATTTACAGGTTCCAGAGATTAGGATAGAATCTCTTTGGGTGAGGGGTGAGGCATTTTTCTAAACACCCAGATTCCAAAATTTTAGGCAAATTATTTCCTTAATTGCATTATGATTTCTCACCTCTTGCTTGTGTCTTTCTCTCCTCCTTTCTTCCTCTTTCCTTCCCTCCTTCCCTCTTCCTGAGTGCTCTACCTCTAAAACATCTCTCTTGTTTTTGCTACTCTTGTTTCTCTACTTCCTCTGGCACTAGGTATCTGGTTTCATTCTAGTTGTAGACAACACTAACCTCTATTTCATGTCTTATTCTGTACCAGATTAATTCTTCTAAATCACTAATCTATTCATCTCTCTCACTCACATAAAATCCTTGACTGACTTCCCAGTTGCCCTCAGGATAAGTTCCTTAACAAACCCTCTTATCACCTGCCCCTGTCCACCTCCTTTATTGGCCCTAATCACTCCTGTCCATGTGCATTTAATGTTCCAGCTACACCAACCTGCTAGTGGGCTTCCTGAGCACACTATGCTGCTTTGCATGTGGGCATCTGCACCTTCTGCTCCTCTCTTTGAAGTCCCCAGTGTCTCCTGGACTACTCTTCAAACACCAGGGCTGACTTGAACCTAACAGGTTTTCCTGACTTCCCAACAAACATAACTCTCTTTTCTATTGTCATCTCTCATTGTATCTTTTATGTATCTTCATATCATATGTATACTTCTAAGTATTAATTTACTTATGTATATTTCCTTTTCTACCCTTGTGAATATCTAGAGATCAGGATCATCCATTATTTATTTTTCACTAGTGTATGGTCAGAACCTAGGACAGTGCCTAACAAATGCTTAATAGGTGCTCAATAAATACCTGTTTATATTTGCATCTCTTTTTAGTGTCTTTTCAAGATCCATTTTTTAACATCTCTCAGGTTTTTGAAATTTAACCTTTAGCAAGTACCACAGTGAATCTATGTCTCTGATTTTACAGAGTGAAACAATTCTCATATAATTAAAAAGACTTCCTTAAAAAAATATTTTCCCTGTTGTTAAAATGAATTCCTTTTTTTGTTCATTTTGGAAAAATGTCCTGTGATTTGGAAGGCAGCATTTTCGTAATAATAGAGTTGATTGATTTACATATTCTGGATCAGTCTGTTCCTCTTGGTTAGATAAATTGGCAAGAAGGTCAGGGATTTGTAGGCAAGTGATAAGCACTTTTTTTGGAAGTTAACCATTATTTATTTGTTTTTTACAATGTAATTATCTCTTCTGTTTTCAGCATTGGGTGTTTCTGGAAATCAGAAGACACTTTCATGAAATCAGAAAGTCATCCTAACATCATCAAATGGGAGAATATAAGCTCCATATAAACACTATCATCCCAGTTTTTTAAAGCAAGTGAAATATGGAAAATATGAACACCAAGAATATCATTGTATGGGAAAAGAGTTCTAGCAGGTAAGCATAGAATGTGTTATAAAGTGGAAAGGAATAGTCCTGTTTTGGTAAAAGCTTAGGATTCATAAATGTAAGCATTATAACAAACAAACAGGAAAGGAAAGAATTAGCAGAAATCTCTGAGCATTTCCATATATGGCTTCTTCCTTATTTGTGTCTTAGTCACGGGTATGTAATAAAAAAGAGATAATTTTTTTCAACACACAATCCATTCAAATCCACTTTGTAGCATTATTTTCTCTGCTACTCAGGTGAAATAAAGAAGAAATCCTATAACTTTTTGGTCACTCACAGGTAATAAAAAGTCCTCTGATCACCTCTCATCACAAAAAGAAAGTCTCATTTCAGCAATTAAAATGTCCAGTCTATGTAAGATCAAACTTCATCTAAGAGCTAAGAGCTTCTCCTTATTCCTCGTTGGCCTGCTGTAGGCTGCTACCTGAAAGAGGGAAAGGGCCCTATGGGCCTTCTATATTTTCTCTATTTCTTTCCAAGTGCTACATAGGTGGTCTAACTTTTATAATGTGGAATAGTTGGCAAATATTGTCTTGGGGCGTTAGCCAAAACATAGTCAGAAATAGTTCATTTTAACATCCTGTTGCATATTCTTGGTAGCACAAATAAAACAAAATTTTTATACAGCTTTCAACTCCATATATCACAAGTTGAGATGGAGAATTCAAGGGCAAGCACTAGAATAACAAAGTAGGCACATTTATGCTCTTTATAGGAAATACCTAACCATACATGTCACAGTCAACTGTAGTGTTTTGTAATTTTCCCACCAACTTACCCCCAATCACCAAGAAAGAAGACAGACCTCTGCAGGATATGAGGTCCTAGACTAATGAAGTACCTTTACTTACAATATTTCTTAGCAGGTGTGTGTTTTACTAATTAGAGCACACAAACTTTGTATTCTATACCATAATGCCTCTGTTTATTTGAGCATAAAAATTATTCTTCTCATACTTTTTTATAATTGTTTTTCCAGGGATATACACCACATTTAACCTCTAATTCCAGTTAAATCTGAGTAAAATTTCATATTATGTAGTTTGATAACTACATGGAATTCATGTAGTTCTAAAGGATGCTTTTGGATTTAGTTTTTCTTGTGTTCCTCTTATTAATACTAATGACCATTCAAGTTTTTATTAGCAGAGAACTTTAAATTCCTTCTCAGAGGGGAGCAAACATTTGTTTGCAGAAAACATATTACCCAAATAAAAACCTGGACCCTTTTACAGACATTGGTTTTTTTCCCTTAACCTCTCCTCTTAACATATCCCATTACAGTCTCTGATTAGTCTCCAGTTAGGAAGCACTCAGCTCAAAATAGAAATAAGAAATAGCTTTGGAAAGGGAAAGGAAACTAGCAATATAACTTTTTTACTCATTTGAAAGAAAGTTGGTCCTGCAAGAGAACCAAGCTGAAAGCAAGTACTGAATTGAGAGTATATTTAAAAATTAATTTCATGTCAGTTGTCCTGCTATACCTGTTGTGGATTCATTTCCTCATTAAAGATTATCTACAGTTTTTGTACCTATAATTCCAACTATAACAAGGATTAGGGACCCTTTGCACAACTCTATAAGCTCAAAGGGGATACTCTGGTGAGACACATAGTCAAAGATAAGTGGGAACTACTCACTCTATTTCAGCTCAAAAAGCAAATTCCTGCCTTTCTAAGATAAACATCCCTGAAAAGCTATTGGTGAAGTAAATATCACACTGGGAAGTAAATGAGACATGACCAAGCTGCAGAAGGAGCCAGAGTATGACAGAAAGAATAAGAAAATAAGCAAGTTAGCTGACTCTATGTTTAAAAAACAAAAAGTCTCAAAATCCTGGAGACTAACCTGGAACTAGTCATATTAGTAGTTTACCACAGTGAAAAGTGAATTCAAAGTCTAGAAGAGTATTTTCAAAGTGTAAATCATAAAATTCTGCATTAGATTCACAAGTGGGGGTTGCTCAGCTTGTTTAAAATGCTGATTCTTAGGCCTTACATTTGCTCTTTTGAATAAAAATTTGAGAGATGAAAACCACCCCTAGGTAATCCTTATTGTCTTTGAGGCTTGAGAACTTTTAGATTAAGGTCTCATTAATCAATAATGTAAGGAGAGGGAAATTATGAATCAGACAGTAAAGTAAAATTAACAATGGTGAAAAGATAATAGATTAACAATTCTGAAATCCATAAAGCTCTAAAAACCAAAAACCTTCATTTTATTTATTTATTTTTGGTAATAAATTTAGAGAGAACTCCCAACCTAGTCTAGACTTATTTTTGGGAAAAAAGTCATCTATATTTATGTGAGATCATGTATAGCCTTTATGTGTGTGTGTGTGTGTGTGTGTGTGTGTGTGTATGTGTTTGGGTTTCACTGCATAATCACTGTGGAATCCCCCAAATGGGGTTAGTACATAGTATAAGGTAGATGTATCATATTCTAAATTCAAGAATGTATTTGGTCCAAAGGGTTTCAGAAAAGGGAATGAGTACCTGTAATTGTTTAAAGACTCTTCAGTTGCAAGAAAATAATGGACCTAAATGAGCCTGAACCTGAAGCAAATATCGAGGGGACATTTTTGAAAGGTGAAGGGAAAGGAGAAGAAAAAAGTGAGGAGAGCTTTTGGCTGCAGTGCGGTTCTGACACCTGTGGAAGGAGAGAAGGAGGGAAGGAGGATGCAGCAGAGTGAGCTTCAGTCCACAGAGCATCTCTGAGAAGTCTCAGCCAAGCCAGTGTGGAGTCTCTGAAAAAATTTCCCGTTAGAAGAGGCTTGCACAGGGCAGAAATGGTCTGGCTCTGGTGCCCCTACGATGCTTAGTCATTGGCTGGGAGTAGCCTGGGGCTAGTGTGACCTCAACATCAATGTCTGGGCACATCTGAAAGTAAAGTAGCTAGTCTCATAGCAAGTTTTCTTTAAGAAAATCAGGGTGTTGTACCTCCATGGACACCATAATCCCTGACTTAGCACAAGGAGAAGAGCGGCCCAGCAGCTGGGAGCTTTCCTTAGGACTGGAATGTTACAGTGATATATGCTCCCTTGTTTTGTATACATTTGTTTTATTGGGTCTCTTTGTCACAGCAGTCTAATTGTATTCTAGCCAATCCAGTTCACACTTCTAATTGTTTTTCTCCATATGTATTTGTCAAGCCATGTCTTCATTTAGGATTTGGAAAATATGATCACTATAGGTAAAAAAACAAAGATTTTGATCCATCATAGTCATTCAGGCCTGATAATAAAAGCTATCAAAGGAATTACTGAACTCTAGATCCTCTGGCGAAACCTTAAAACATCTAACTGTCTGCTCTAATTCACATTCTGCCCAGTCCATTTCTGTTGAGGGAAGAGACTGCGTCAGAACCATCTTGGTTAAGGAGGACCGGAGCCAAATGGCCCTGGTCCTTTGGCCTGCAAGAATGCCATCTAACCTCTGCCTCTGTGAACTCTCCAGAGGGCAGCCTGAGATGAAAGAACCTATCTGGCTGTTAGTAACCAAGATTAGTAAACAAAAATAGATCTTATAAAGTTTGCTACCAACCCTTCCATTTTTGGACACTTTGCATATCCTCAGAACCCCACTTGGTCTCTTTCATTTTAGTCAGATAATATAGAATTTTCCAGGGGAGTCTTATGCGATACTGACAAAGACCATTGCTTGAGAAGAATAGAGGGATAAACTGGGACTCTGTGCTCACCTCAGTTAATAAGACATAGAAAATCTGATATGTTCTAGTCAGGTCCTTTTAAAAAATAAGCATTTATAGGGACAATCTTTTTTTTTTTTAACTGTCTTGTTAATGGTATTTTGGTTCACTTCTGTTTCTCTTTGCTGTTTCAAGATAGTGGTCACTTTAAAATCTAATATAAAAAGAAAACACTTAAGAACTTAGGTGTCTGTGCTTATTCTGGTTTTCATGGAGGCCCTGTGGATTTTAGGTATATGAAAAGATGGGAAAAAATGTTCACTAGTCGGTGCCCTTGCCTCAGAGTTCAATTCTAGTTGTTCTTAGAAATTTTAGCATCACACTCATTACATATTTATATCTTCCCTCTTTTTTTCCACTTTGCAGATAATTGCTACTTAATTGATACTGCCTCTGTGCAAACCTAGTCACAAGACACACTGCTAAATAGAGGAATCATTAATATGTGTGTATGTAGTAGATTTCCTTTAAAGGGTGACTGGAATAAGCAAAGTCATTAGCAGTTTATTTGCAACAGTGCACTTATGAAAAGCTCTGTGGAGAACACATCAACAGTCAGTATGTAACTGAGCAATTAACACAGGACTTCTGTACTTTGGGGTGTTAGCATGGGAGTAAACAGAAGCAGATGTGAAGTGTTTGTGCTGTTAGCATGTACAGTCTGTTCTGACATATGCAAATATCACTCATGCTTACAGAACCTACAACCCCTATTGTACTGTGACCTTACTGGTGAAGCCCTGTGACAGAAGTGCTTCATTTGCACTGGGTGCTATTAATTATTAACAGACCAATACCACCTTTTCTTGCTATTAAAGTTGTGCTGAAAGCCAGGTGAGAAAGCATCACAAACAACTTGGTAACATGCTGGTTCCCAGCTTGCCTTGACTACTGCTGTCTTGCCAGAAGAGTCCCTGAAAACAGAGAACAATTTAGGCCAAAGTGAGCAGAAAAGATCTCAAAAGACTGACAGATGGGATCACCTGTGCAATTCAACATGAGTTTGAATAATTTTCTCCATGGGATGCAGGTAAACCCTGTGATGATCCAGTGGTTTCTAAATGAAGGCAGGAGAATTCTAGTGTCGGGATGGATTTGTACCTAAGAACTTAATTTACCATTTCCCCCTTCCTTGACAGGGAGCTGGAAAATTATTGCTCACTAGAAAAATTAAAATTAGAAGCAAGTGGCATGACTTTTTTCCTTGTATCTTTAAAAGATATTGTCATTGGACTCACTTTTCATAACACTTGTCCTCTGGAAAAGAAAATGACTTT